AATGTCTTGATGGGCATTTAAGTTTTTTTCAAGATTTTATTTGATGGGCTGGAGTCATGTGAATTACTTATGTGTTATTTTGATGTTTTTTATCAGCTGTTTGGGCTCTCATTCTGACGGCACCCATTCACTGCAGAGGATCCATTGGTAAGCAAGTGATGTAATGCTGAATTTCTCCAAATCTGTTCCAACGAAGAAACAAACTAATCCACATCTTGGATGGTATATAAGTACATTTTCAGCAATTTTTCATTTTTGGGTGAGCTATTACTTTAACTTTGTGAGTCTAAAAATACCTCAGTTTTGCCCCATTTAAATTTTGTGGTCTGTTGGATTACAGCTTGTGAAAAATTGACTGACATTTGGCTTTTAAGCATGGACAATGTACAATCTAGATCCATCAGCCTAGTTCTTACTCTGTCCTTTCATTTCAGTTACTGTTGTTCCCATCTCATGTGAATTGTGTGATTTGGGGATTTCCAGTCTCGGATCGAGCTTTGTCCTAGTTTAAATTGTACTGTCAGTGTTGATTCTTCATTAAATGGTTTTTAAATCCACCACGAGTCTTATCCTGAAAAACGTGGGTCTCACTTGTCTGATGTTACATATAGCATGTTTCAGTTTTTTCGTTCTACTCTTTCCCTCAAGAGTCAGCCATGTCATTTATTTTCATTTTACACCAAGTTTATTGAAACTGTTTTGTTATTAAATGAGAAAAACAAAGATCTGCAGTTCCTGACTTTTCTTGATTAACTGAAATGGATTTTATTTTACTTTTAATGGAGACTATTAATATATAAAAAAAATCAGTTTCATGTACAAAAATGAAATCCCAATTTTGTGTATTCAACAGGTTTGATAAAGACTGCTTTTATTGACATTTGTAGTGTACAATAAAGAAAGGTATTTGTTTCCTTTTCTTCTTGGCTTTTCATACATTGCAAATGTATTCCCATTCCACCCATGTCACAACAGTGTTTCATCACAGATCAAATCAATAGTATGTAAAACTGTTCTTTCAAGCAGATCGTCCTCTGAAATGCTGTCGAAATGCAAAGATTTTCTGAGAACTACACGTTCTCGTTGGTTTCAGCATGCATGCTGTATCACGTTTTGGGCCGGCCAAAAAAAAAAAAAAAACATGGAAAAAGGCTATGGTTAACAAAATAAAGAAATGTCAAGATATACAATAATGCACATCTAGAAAAACGACAAAGGTGGATATAGGGAGTAACTAAAGGCTGTTTTGAGCTGTGTTAGTGGGAAGACAATGCAGCTTCCATGTAATGCCATTTATTTTTCATGAACAGTCTGCTTCCAAAGCTGTCTGCGCTCTTCTCCAAAAGCCAGAAACACATGATTTATGTCTCAACTGTTGACCTGTTAATAAAGGACTGTGAGGTTCACTTGCTGTGGATCTTCATATCAGCTGCTGTCCTCATTCATCAAGCGTAGACCATCTGATGAAAACAACCATATCTGTCATTATGCAAAACAGGACAATATGTTATCATCCCACCTTTACTTTGTTATCCGACTAAAGATTAATTATAATTTGATTGTCATAGTCAAGATACTTCAGATGAAGTCATTTTAATAACACCTAGTTAGCTAGTTAAAAGAGGGCTGGTTAAAAACACTCTGCAGTCACAGTGTCTTTCTATCAGTTTAGATGTGATTGACAATCCAGACCTTTGAAATATGTCTTGATGATGAACATATCAGCTTATGAATTTAAGGCAAATGCCCTTTTCTCTTAAAATGTGATCCACAGTGACATCCTGAATTACAAGAGCTCCTTATATTGGTAGTTTACAGTTTTGGGAGTGTTCCAAAATGAGCTGGCTAACTAGTAGTAATCAGCTTTCTCCATGCGAGTGAAAAATCAATACAAAAATATGATTAAAATAATATCCTGCTTATGAAGTGAGTGATCTCAAGGATTCTTTTATCTGATATCACATCAGTAAAAGATGCATCAACCTGAATTAGGGAATCTAAAGCAGGGCTCCAGACTAACAAACATGACTAGTAAAATGAAATGTTTAGTAGCGAAATGTGTTTTAAAATTACTGAACCAATAAACATAGCAAGTCATAGCAGTTCAATAAATGTTTGCAAAACTGTGTTCAATGACTGAATCTGATTAAACATGCCAACTCACAAATCCATTTGACACACATAAAAAAAAAAAAAAAAAAATGTACGCGTGTAGTTAAAAAAACAACAAAAAATATATATAAATTTCTAATTTTTCCCCTTCCCCATGTACATTAAAAGGCTTTATATGAAACCATTAGTGGACACACAAAAACACTTTCCTGACAATATTATCAATAACTGCCACAAATTTGTATTTTGTCGCATTTGCAACTATTCCAGAAGCAGTCTGAAGCCCTGCTAAAGCATATTATATCTATAAAAGGACATAAAACATGTAAAAGTATGGTCACATTTACAGTTCTTCAGCAAATTTTCACAGGCAAAATCCAGTAATTTAAATAGGAATCCACGCAATCATGAATTTTGTGCGACGCCATATTTCACAACAGAACCTGTTGACCAACATAAAGTTGCTTGGTTTCAAAGTGCTTTCTATGTGAGCTGTGCTTCACACATCGAACACTACTGACAACAGACAATTAACTTTTTTGCCCACAAAAGTTTGCTAATGTAACCGCACCTTAAAGGGATAGTTCACCCAAAAATGAAAATTCTGTCATTAATTACTCACCCTCATGTCGTTCCAAACCTGCAAGACCTTCGTTCATCTTCGTAACACAAATTAAGATATTTTTGATGAATTCAGAGAGATCTCTGACCCTCCATAGACAGCAAGAGTCCTAACACAATCAAGGCTCAGAAACGTAGCAAGGACTAGGGCTGTCAGAATGGCTGAAAAACTAAATTCGAATTTTGTACTTAAATATTATCAATATTCGAATTATATTAAAAGGCATAATTTCAGTTACGGGGGAAAAGCTTTTGGCTTCTCTCCTGAGGCCACAAGAGGGCGCATCGAGCAAAATATTACGCACGTTTCTTCAAAACATAATAAAATAACACGACTATCTTTGAAAAAAGTGCATAATGTTTATAAACCTTATATAATTAAAGTTGCTTAAACAATTAGAAACAAAACAGAATCATGCATGTATAGTTTAATACAAATGACCAAAAAACAATCACAAATAGTACTTTCTTCATTTAAAAACTTGAGATGCAGTAGGATGGGGAAAAACCGCCATAAAGTCTTGAGACATGTTTTTAAAAAGTTGAACTTGCATTAATTTTACATGGCTTTCTAAACATGCCGCTCTCTTGTGCGAGACGCGAGTGCAACGGTGATAGATGTCCCTCTAGAAAATGTGATAAATATGTGTTCTGTGTGAACGGTTTGGTTTCGGTTTTGACGTAAACAACATCATCTCCGCATTGATGTTCTTTTTTTTTATGTTCTTTTTTCGCGCATTCGTCTCCTCCGCGTCACCCTATAGCACCATTTTGGAGAGTATCACATACGAAAACAATGTATGCTGTTCTGTGTCAGCAGCACCGTACGCGGATATGTTGCATACGTTGTTTACGTATGTGATACTCTCCAAAATGGCGCTATAGGGTGGAGACGAATTGTTGAATAAAGTCGTTATTCGTTAAAGTTGCACAAAAAGTATTCTCGAAGCTTCGTAAAATTACGGTTGAACCCCTGATGTCACATGGATTATTTTAACGATGTCCTTCCTACGCTTCTGAGCCTTGATCGTGTTACTTACATTGCTGTCTATGGGAGGGTCAGAGAGCTCTCGGAATGCATCAAAAATATCTTAATTTGTGTTCCGAAGATGAACGAAGGTCTTACAGGTTTGGAACGACATGAGGGTGCGTAATTAATGACAGAATTTTCATTTTTGGGTGAACTATCCCTTTAACACTATGAGAAGCTCATGGCATTAAGGACCCTAAACTGATTATTAAACTGAACCACATACCAAAATCCAACCTTTCCTCATCTATGAATATAACATTCATCTTTAAATAAAGTTTTAGTAAATATTAGTAAATCCATTCTTCTTTATTTCCTACTGATGGCTTAATATCCCGTGCACTGCATTGCTATTCCTTACACAATCCTTTATATCAGTGGTTCCCAATCCCGGTCCTGGAGAACCCCCAACACTACACGTTTTTGGTGTCTCTCTTATCTGACACTCACATTTGAGGTCTTGGAGTCTTCACTAATGAGCTGATGAGTTGAATCAGGTGTGTTTAAATAGGGAGACATCTAAAATGTGCAGTGTTGGGGGTTCTCCAGGACCAGGATTGGGAACCATATGATAACATGTTAAAAACACTGGCAGAACATTTTATAAACATGGGCCACTAAAAAGTTGAGAAGAGATGGGACGGGGATGGGATGCTAAATGCAGTGGCCCAAAGAAACGGTAACATTTCATCCTCTATCCCGGTCCAAACCAATCCACTATAAAAGCTTTATTGGACCGAGACCTTCAGTCTTCAGTTTGATGTCAAAACCTACCATTATGTGGATCTTGAAGTTGTAGTTGAATTCCTGAAGGCCGCTTGAAATTATTGTTGGATCTTATTGTCTTGTAATAATAATAAAGTCTATAACAGAGGTCCGGTTCTTGACATTTGCTACAGTAACTCAATCGTCAACATTCCTAATACTGTTCCACAATCTTTCCGCTACCATGCCAAGCAGCCCGTCTCTGAGGAAGCTACATCATTTTAGCTTTGGAGCGGTTTAAAACAAAATGAGGTCCATATTCATGAAATAAAGCATCTGGTGATTCATAAAGCTTAGAGGCGAGACTGAAGCTCGTTCTTCGTTTCTAATTGAGGCCCAGGCACTGTGTACCAGAAACCATTTCATGGTGCACACCTTCCCTTCTGTCACTCGTCTCCATTAGGACTGAGCGTGTAGAGCGCCCTCTTGTGTTTGAGGAGCTTAGTGTTGCTACAACGGTTCTGAAGAGATCGAATTCAGGGTCACCACCCCTTTTGACTCAACAGGGCCTATGGTTTCCACAGTGGAGTTGAGAGGTGAGGAGAAACGAAAGAGAGCACCACATTCAGAGGGCGTCCCAGTGGAGATGGTGCATAGGTGGTATGGAGGACTTGTTCCTGCACAGCTTTCAGGCTCTTTGAAGTGCAAATGAGAGAAAGAGAGCGAAGAGGGACTCGAGCTGGTGGGAGGCATGAGTCTGAGACTGGACGGATTCCCTCACTTTAGGAGATGATCTCCAGGATGTAGAAGATGAGCTCCATCACCACAGGCCCTTCACTTAGCTGGCAGGCCCCGCTGTGAATCACTGGGATGAGGGCGCTGTCTAGATCACTCAGGTACTGGGGGAGCAGTGGCTGACCGTTACTGCCTGCTAGGTAGCCCACCTGTAAGACATTTCAGTTTCAGACATTTTAGCTCCATCCATATTAAGAATGATAACTATAACGATAACTACATTAGCATCCAGATAACATTGTTTATTATATGCATGTGCTGCAGTTTTGCTGCCTGTTGCTTTAAATGCTCAAGCTCTTTAAAGTCGGTAGGATTCTGATCTTAAAGGGAGAGTTCACCCAATAATGAAAATGTGCTAAAATTGTCCTCACATCAAAATCCACGGACATATTTCTTTAGTACAGTTGTAGACGGTTTTCATTAGTAAACGGTGCTTGTTATGTGCATATTTCTCTACTGATTCAGACAAGACAAGTATTATGAATAGAGGACTTGTATTTTAGCCAAAAACAATAGCTTGAAGTTACAAATGTCTTAATGATAGATTTATTACAAACACGCAGCTTCCCACTACACAATTCACAGGATTAATGTGATGTTTTTATCAGCTGTTAGGTCTCTCATTCTGACGGCACCCATTCACCACACCATTGGTGAGCAGGTGACGTAATGGTATAATCTGTTTTGGAGAAGAAGAAAAAAACTCATCTACATCTTGGATGGCCTGATGAGGAGTTAATTTTCAATTTTGGAAAAGATGACTCCTCCAGACTAAAAGCAACATTTAAATGGAGCTTGTCATTGTCACCTGATCTGAGTCCAACGTGACCCGCAGGCCCAGTTTGGCCATGCCGTCCTCTTTGAGAAGTTTGAGGTGAGGGCACAGGGCCATGCAGAAAGCCCTCGCCACATTCTCAGCGAGTCGGCTATGGTCCGCAGGATCGCTCAGGCCATTGGTCTGGTCCTCGCTCCGCAGGAAGAACACCTAAGAAACAACACGACATTTAATATACAGAGTGAAAAGTAGAATTGTATCATTTGAGACAAAAAAAAAAAAGATGTGCTTTTGTTCATATTATATTAGTCCAAAACAACATTGGATTCCACTGAATTTCATTGTATGGACCAAAAAAATGAAAAAAAACACCAAGACATTTTTCAAAATATCTTCTTTTGTGTTCCACAGAAGAAAGAAAGTCACGCAGATATAAATGTCATTACAATAGAGTTCCTAACGTTAAATGAAGATGAATAATGAACCAATGTTAAATACCTCTGTCCAACAGATGACTTTCCCACTGGTTTTATACTCCGAGCCATGGAAGATCTTAACACTGGTGACTGACTCCATGGATTTTCCATCAATGGGGCTGATCACACTGAAAATAAGAAAAGTGCACGAATGATGAAAAGAGTGATGTTTGTTATGACAGATCAACAGCTAGATGTCTGCACAAGTTTCAAAAAACACATTATTTTCCACATACTGTACATTCTTGTTGCTCCTCTCTGCCCTGCCTTTCTGAAACGCATCGATTTTTACAAATCTCATCGTTCTAAAAAGTGCGGTGTGCTTTGATTGGCCAGCTATCCAGTGCGACGTTATTGGCCGAATACCTCAAGCGTGTGACGGAAATTTAACGCCCCTTACCATATTTGGAATATCAGCTTCCATGGCGACAATACTACAGCGAGAATAAGTTACGCCTTCTTTCTTTGCGCACACATTTCGGCAGTGTTATGCAAATCTTCCCACACAGTGATGTAGACGAGTCTTAACTTTTAGAAAGAATATCTCTTTGGGTTTGAGACTTTAATCTTTGCGACTTTATGGATCTAATATATGCACGAACAGCTTGTAACACTCTAAAGACAAGGGAAAACATGAAATTGCGTATATTTCATATATATATATACCCTGACTGTAAGCACTGTAGCCTATCCCATGTCATTGTTAGGATAACGTCTTATTAACCAACAAATGGTTCATCAGGCATAACAGAGAATCATGACAGAGCCAAAGATATACAGAATTAAAAAATATAAATAACAGTACGGTATATAATTAAATTTTGGTAAATTAAAAAATATATCTTTGTATGTATACAGTATAATATCATTAAAAGTAAATAACAGGGAATATGGGAGCTACATGAATCTTTTGGAGTTTGCAGCCTGCATTTACTGCTAACAGCTGAACATGATGTGCATTTGATTAAGACCTCAGCAGCACACTATTAAACCAGCCTGGATCATTATTTGATGCGAATGCGAAGTCTCAGTTTTAGCTGTCTACTTACCCCTTGTTGACATTGTGGTCATCATCAACCCACTGGATATGGACGTGCTCCTGGTTCTCCTCCTGATCAGATTTCCCACAGGCAATCCTGAAATCTTTCATCTCTCTCAGGGCTTGCCGTAAGGCCTCCATCGTTTCAGCTGTAATCTGCACCATCACACCATCTGAGGCATAAGCAGTCAGCGTTACTACACAAATCTGCATAATATTTTACACTTGTAAAAAGAAAGCACTTTAAAAGCACTTGGTTCAAAAAGTACAATTCTGCCCGACTGTGACTTTGGTCAAAACATTAACGGGGGAGATTATGTCCAGTTGAGTCATTGTTCCAGAGGGATCAGATGGCCTACATATAGAGAAAGAGGTTGCAAATGTCTTCTGCTGTACCTTCCACAATGCTGGTCTTAGCCAAGTAGCCCGATGAAGACTTTAAAGCCCCGCTGAACACAAAGAAGGAGGCCCCAGTCACTAAAAGAGGGATAAAAGGAAATAATACATCAAAAACTCACTTTCCTCATGCAAAAATATTCATTCTCTTTTGGATTAAGTGTCATTTACTACCCTGAATAGCATTTTTCAGAAAGTTTCAAAAACATCTTGTTTTTGAGTGCAATAGAATAAAACAGAAGACTGGAAGATGAATTTTTGCTTTAAAGGGATATTCTATCCAAAATACACACACACACACACACAAACACGCATACTTATACTTAAGTGTGTGTATATATATATATATATATATATATATATATATATACAGTGACATACGAAAGTTTGGAAACCCCTTGCAGAATCTGTAAAAAATGTGAATAATTTTAACAAAATAATAGAGATCATGCAAAATGCTTGTTATTTTTTTATTTAGTACTGTCCTGAGTAAGATACTTTACATAAAAGATGTTTACATATAGTCCACAAGACAAAAAAAATTGCTGAAATTATTCAAATAAGCCCCTTCAAAAGTTTGGGAACCCTTGGTTCTTAATACTGTGTGTGGTTACCTGGATGATCTACGACTGTTGTTGTTGTTTTTTTTGTGATGCTTGTTCATGAGTCCCTTGTTTGTTCTGAACTGTTAGTCTGAGCACTGACTCCGTGTCCTGCAGATTCTTCTTCCGGGGGGTGAAAACTTTTGAACAGGATGAAGATGTCCACATTTTTCTTATTTGCTCCAGAAGGATGCATTAAGAGCATTAAGAACTTTTTGAATTTGAAGATCAAGGTAAATTGTACTTAATACTTAATTTGGGAAACATGCAAGCATCTTCTGTTGCTTCCGAAGGGCAGTACTAAATGGGAAAAAAATTATATTTCAACAAAATAAGAAAAATTTGGACATATTCATCCTGTTCAAAAGTTCTTAATGCATCGTATTTCCTTCTGGAGTATCAGTGAATGTTTGAACCTTTTTTAATAGTTGTGTTTGAGTCCCTCAATTGGTTTCCTTCTGGAGCATCAGTAGCATCAGTGACCTTTTTAATAGTTGTGTTTAAGTCCCTTAATTGTCCTCAGTGTGAAAAGATGGATCTCATGGATCTCATCACTGCTGGAAAGGGTTCAAATATGCAAAAGATGCTGGAAAACTGAAGAATCTGCAGGACATGGAGGATTT